CTTAAAGTTGACAAAGTTGAGAAACACTGGTCTAGAAGTTATTCCTATCATCACTCAGAAAGTTTTCTAGAAATCTCTGATTTTATGAAGCAATTCTGAGGGGGGAAAAGCAATAACAATTTTGCATGCTTCTTGGTATGACCAATCAAGATGATATAGAATATTTTCAACATTGCTTTGAATTGCCTTTAAAGCACAACCTTGAATGAGAACTCATGGGTGTTAACAGGAAGTAAGGAAAAATTTTACATTATTCCCTGGAAACCACTGACTTTCACACAGCTTTCAATTACAGTGTGGTTTAATTAAATTGCCATCAATTCTTCCACGTACAACTTTCAAAGTCAGGGAATTCATCTTAGAAAGTGGAAGTTTAATTTGTATTGATTTTGATTAGCGCTTAAAATCATTGGGTCTTTCTATCCTCACAGCCAAATTAGCTTTTCATTAAGACTAGAGCAAGCACAATGGTGGCCATGGGTAAAGCCCTTTCTCACATAAGTATTCCTTGAACATTCAACATACTTAGAAGAGATTTGTTTGCATTTCAAGAAATTAACATGCCAATGATCCCCTTGGCCATTGATTGTTGCCATGCTAATTCTACAAAGGTACAGAAGGACTCAAGTAGAAACTTTGTGTTTATACAGGAGGCAAATCCTTACAGAGACAAGAAGTATCCCTGCCTCTTTGTGGCCCTAATATTAGAGATTTTTCATAATATAAAAGATATAGAACAAATCAGCTATATAAGAGATTTTTAGTAAAGAGCTTCCTATACAAGACCTCAATTATTTTACTCATTACTCATGGCACTAGCCTAGAAACCTGCATTTTTGTTTCTTAGTCCTCTTCTAGTGAAATGTTCCTTTTTAATGGATTCTTTCTTAAAAGACACATATTGAATATATTTTCTACAAAATATTTTGTACAATATATTTTGTACAAATACAAACCTATGCACTTTGCTTGGAGGTCCATAAACAAGATGTAAATGATACTTATCCAGCAATGTTGCCCTGGCTTATTGGGTCATTTGTAAGCATTGTTCATCTGTGCCCATTCAGACAGAATGCTTTTATAATCAATATGCCAGATTCCCTCATGTTCCTGGCTCTCAGATGTCAACATGGCCTGAATGCCATATATATCTTGAATTAATTATGTACGTCCAACTGACAACTTAGAGTCCTTCTGGACAACATTCGATTCTGGTTCTGATAGACTCCATGTTACACAAACTTTAAAAGATGTCCAGTATTTGGCTTTCCACATCAGTTCCCTTTCTACAATGAATTCAGTTTGTCTTCAGAGGTTTGTCACAACATCCCCACCATACAGAACATGAACAGCACTTCTCCAGTCCTCAGATATGATCCTATTCTGAAGTTTCTAGGGGAAGGCTTCCTCTTCTTCTACCTCTCCTGAAAGCTTTGCCATTTCATTTCCCTTTGAAAAAGGGATAAGTTTCCCAAAGGCTAGTCTTTACATGGCCCATGATCAATTCTCCTCTCCATTAGAGCACCTGCTCAAAAATGATGATGACAGTGATTATGATGATGATTAGCTAATGTCATGTGGTTCCTACTGTTGCCATATCCAGGGGCTTCTGTTTATACTGTCTATGATAGGTTTAACAAGATGGCTGTTTACCCTGCTAGTGATATAATAAAGAATTAATGTTCTGCATCTGCTTGCTGCCATCTGGTGGTCATCCAGATTTTTGCAGCCCACATTTTCTTTGTATACAAACTTACTGAGAAGCTCTTTTGCATACAAAGATTTATTTATTTTATTTTATTAATAAAATTTATACACTGCCCATCTCATTGTATAAGTGACTTTCAGCGGCTTACAAGTATGCAGTACCGTCTGTTTTCTTTTCCTTTTTCTTTCAAATCACTTTGCAGTGCTATTTCAATACTTGGATCTTGGGTCAAACACCTTATCTTTCTGGGTGAAGTGGGAGCTCCAAAACTGGGGTAGACTTGAGCATGGAAGACTGGGACAATACTGACCAGCAAATATTGTGACAGCAAGCCCTGAGGAAAAAGGCTGATCAAAATAAGAGCAAAAATCAGGATGCTCAGGAGCAAACCTAATGGAATGTTGTTGATTTGTCCCTTTGCCATGAGTCACTTGCCTGGAAGATCAATGTTTTACTGTGAAGAGGCCATTTCACTGGCAACTTTATACTGAAAAAAGGGGAGCAAATAGAGCATTTCAGAATTCTGTCCATTACTAAGTTTCTATTTAACATCATTATAGGCAAAAAGAGAGCAATATGACTTCCTTGATTGCTCTGTGGACAGAGAGGTGGCATCTAAACTGTAAAAATAAATAAATAATGACAAGCAATAAGTGAAAGGCATTATTAATTATCTACTGCTTTAGCCACTATTAAGCTACGATTTTTTACTGCGGACAGCAGTAAGATTTTTTTTTTCCTTTCCTAAGAATCAGCAGACAAGCCAAACACTGCTTTAAATTTGTTAATCAGGTGTCTTATTAAATTGTTGACTTAAGCAAGCAATACGTAATGAACACAGCCACTGTATCTTGTTAGCATTTCCACAGCTCATTTAGCATCAAGAGTGGGTGGGAAGCACATTCTTTCAGAATTATAATGCACTTTATGATGCTAATCTGTATCAGTGGTACATCACTTAATCTTGCTAATGCTGAAAGATTCCTTGGCAGGGTTATAAGGCAATTGATAGCTCATTCAGCCAGCGGACAGCTTGAACTTTGCACAAAATGTGGACAAAACTTATTAAAATGATCTATTTTGTTTTTCTTAAAGCGTTTGGCTGAGTGAAATGACTGTTCTCAGTAACAAAGGTTTTCAATTACCTCTGAAGGGCTTGAAATAGTTTGGATAAGGCCCCTAGGCAAAGAGAAATGAAACAATGCTATCATTCTTCAGTCAAAATGTGAAAGGCTAGCTCTCTGAAAATTTACCTCTCAGCAGCAGGCACAAGAAGCAGTCAATACAATTACAGCTGGGCTGTGTGAACTTACAGTACAGAATAAATATGAGTTCTCTTTAAAGTGTCTGACTTGGTTACCTAGTATATATGTTAATCCTTGGCACAGAGTAACATCTTCAGAGCATACCATGCATGAAGAGGGGCACGGTGCTATTAAGTGAATCAGCATAGCAAGTAGAATGAGCAGGGCACCTACAAGGGAAAAAGAAAGAGCATATAAAAATATTGTGGCAGTGACATTTTTATTCTTCTGGTAATTATACTGCTGCAGATCTACAATGAAGAAAATTAATCACATTTTTTAAAAAAATCCTTTTAAAAAGGGAGATGTTGGTGAATTCTGCAGGGTAAACATGACTATAAGTTTCCATTTTGGATTTCTTAAATCACAACTAGACCAGACAATAGAAAGCAGAGTCAAATTTTGGACATGAACCTATTAGATTTCCATTTATGTGTGCTTTGAACTATGAATTTGTAAAGCATTCTTTCACTTACTGTTGGATACCCACCTATCTGACATTAAGACAAGCACTATGTGGTAGTCAAAGTATGCTACTCTTTTTTCCTTTACTGAAACAAAGCTTCAGGAGCTGAAAAACACATCTAGATAAAGCATGTTTTAACATGCATTAAGGTGCTATCAAGTTGTAGATGGAAAAGTAATTTAAACAATGAAAAGAATTCTATTTATTCAGAAAGGAGTAATATTATGTACAGTTTTAAGTAGACCTTTGAAACTGAACAAATAGTGAAGTAAATAAGAAAAACCTGTTTGTTAAGTCCACAGGTTTATTTAGTCCAGCTTCCTTTCCCTAAGTGTAGCCGCTTCTCAGAAACTGAGACTATACGGTGAAGGCAAGACTTCCCTATTGTCTGACCTTCTGCAATGTTGCATACTGAAAGCTTCCTCTAGCTACCTATTTTGCCTAATGGTACTAGTCTATTCTGTTTTAAAATCAGTTAAGCCAACAGTCATCATCATACGTTGTGGCCATGAAATCCATGTGCTAAAATATGTAGAAATGTATTATTTTGTCTACCCTGAATCTATTACCAATCCATTTTATAAGAAAACCCCAAATGTTAGTATTATAAGAGCAAGAGAACAATTTCTCCATGCTTTTTTCATACAATTCATAGTTTTCTAACCCTCTTTCTTACCCCTATCCCAAAAGTAATTGTTGAATCTTCAAATACTTCAATCTTTCTTTAGAGATGATCCAACCTTTGGCTGCTGCTTTCTTCAGTTTTCCAGGTCTTCAGTACTCTTTTTGAAATGGCGGAACAAGAATGGTACACAACAATGCCATACCATAAATTCAGTCTGCTCCTATCCATTTATTTTCACTCCATTTTCTAATAATCACTAGCACATAGAATTTCCCTTTTTTGGCCACTTCTACAAAGCAAACTGATATTTTCAAAGGCCTATTTCTAAATCCTTTATCACAAAGTGTTATAGACAACTCAGACTCATCCATACATATATACAATTACACTTTATGGCTATTTGCTTTAATGTGCATTTTACATTCTCACTTTCTTTCAGGTCACCATCACCATGGATCCCATAAAACATTTCAGTAGTTTGAATTGTAAAATAGATAATTTAGTGATGTTCATAGAAAGACACATCCTTCTATAATCACTAAAAAGTTCCTGTGGAGAATTATTTCCTGTCCTAAATAATGTGAGATGGGACTATAGGGTTGATGGGAAAGAAAGAATCAACCAAAATTGGATTTGGATCATAAAATAGGAAGTTCTACTACTCCCCTCCCCTCCCCTCCCCTCTCATATAATTCAGGGAGATTATCTCACCCACCCAGTCTTCCAGGGACTTGCAAATGCCTCCAGGATGGAGGAGATGACAAGAACGTTTTCTTCCATGAACTTCCTTAAGTTAGTATCCAAACAAGTAATCTTCAAAATTACAAATATCTGCTTGCAAAATGTGAAAAGCATTGTCACAACATTCATATTGTTATTGTCTTGCTGTATTTGCAGGGAAGACCTGAGTTTTCTGAAGTGGTGTCCAAATTAGAAGAATGTTTGTGCAATATAGAGGTAAGAACAGAACCTGTTTGTCACAAAATATGGATGGCTAGTTTTGAACAATTAACAAGGATTAATCAATTCCTTACTGAGAAAAAGTCAGATATAATTTCGAGATAGACTACTCTGTTTTCTTTTTAACCTAAGCTATTTGTTTTCTTTACAAACTAAGCTATTTGATGAAAAAGAAATATAATAAATACCATAAGAAAGAAAAAACTGCTAGCTCATCATGAATAGAAATACCCAAAATCCTCATTATTCTTCTGGGCTGGAAACAAGGAGTAACTCTGAAAATTGAAGATGGTTTGAAAAAAGCATTATTTTCTCTAATGTACTCAACAGTCTTATTTCTTTTAGCCCTTTGTCAGTTCTGTCTGAACAATTTTTTCAGGTTTCTTGAGCACTGCAAAAACCCACATAACTTTTTAACAGCAACAATTAGGGAAACGGGTGTACGCACCACAGGCATCCATACATTTTTCCTTCTAACTATAACAATACTGTTTATTAACTGGGAAAAAACAGCCAATCAGAATGTACCCTTCTTGGCCAGTAGGTTTGTCCTCCACTGATCTCAGCCAATCAGTGATCAGCTACTGGCTAGCAGTGGAAGGCCTTGCCCTGTCCCTTCAGCTTTGCATCAAAAAAAACAAGTACATTTATCTGCCCCAACAAAACAATTAAAAAAAAAAAGCAAATTGGAAAGAATCTTACCTGTCCACCCTGGTGCCATATCGCTGCATGACAATTCTCTATTTACAGAATGCCCCTTCACTCAGCCCTGTCACCCTGCCATTAGACTGAGAGACTGGTGAAAGGAGATGAGTCAGACTTTGTCTCCAATGGACCCATAATCACATTATACAAACCCCCAGAGTGAAATGCCTCCAGTCCTGTTATGTCACATTGCTGCTAAAAGTTCCCTATCTGCAAAAAAAAAAAAAAAAAGCCTAGTGACTGCAACACAGGAAGAGAGGACCAAGTATGGTGGACTAGATATAGTAAGGATGTCAACTGTACTCTACAAGGCTCAAAGCTCTCAACAAATGGACCGAACCCCCTGTCTGGTAACATCCTCAAGAAATAAATAGGCAGCCAGAGTAATTATAACTGTCGCAAGACCGGTGCAACAAAATCCAGCTATTAATCTACTAGAAAAAAAATTAACTCATGCATTTTATACCTATTGCAGTTTTGGCCCCATTTTCAAGGACAATTGCACGTGGGCAGCACATTAAAATAATTAGACCAAGTTAAGGGCAAATTTGTCCTTTATCTTCAACTCTCTGGAGAAAATCATTCTAAACTGAGATCTCCCACAGAGAAATAGAGCGGACAAATCTATAAGTTATGCTACAACATAATGACCAAACTACCTTATATATAGCTCAGTCTTCCCCCTTGTAACCACTAAAATGTTACAAGACATAGGAGTCTGGATTGACATCGTAGTGTGGACATGAGTACATGCATAAAAAGTTTTTCCACAGCTAATCTCCTAGACCACACCGAAGCTCCTTGCTAAATAAGCTTAATTAACCAAATGTGATTAATGTGATTTAATTAGCAAAAGCAAGGTATATTTGCATCTCTTTAGGAGAGCTTACAGGCAATTTAAGTCAAGGAATTTCAGTTTTTAAAATATTGTACGCCGTATCTTAATGATGTTCTTTCAGGATTATACTACGAAACAATCCAAATATTAAAATTAATGAACTAGAATTAATCAGCATTACCATCAACTTGCCATGCCCTGTAGTGCCACAATCACTTCTTCCATGCCACTGGAACATTATGCAGAACTGCAGGTCATATAGGAGAAGTCCTAAGTATGGGAATAGCTTAAACTATCAAGCCTCTGACTCAGTGGTAAAGAAGAGGATGACTACGTCACTAAATTATATAAGAAGTAACCCTAACCCTTAAAAAAAAAACCTGCTGCATTTGAAATATCTTTAATATTATGTCTAGAGCTCCCTAATTCCCTAAGTACAGGTAGAACTAGGGCCACGTCTGTGTGTATGTATAAATTCATGTTCACTGATTGACATACTGATTGTGATTACAAATGCTTCAAGTCTTGGATTGTTTTTGTTTTGTCCCTTCAAGTTGGTCTTGATACCTGGTGGACAAATCTATGCAGTTTTCTTGGGGAGATTTACAGAAGTGGTTTGCCGTTGTTTTCTTTGTAGGTCTGAGAAACAGTGTCTGGCCCAAAGTTACCCAGCTGGCTTCTTGCCTAAGGCAGGGCTAGAACTCGTGATCTTCTAGTTTCTAGCCTGATGCTTACCAAACTTGCTCTCTTCCAAGGCCTTTACTGTCATCTTTCCCATGAATCTAACAGCTGTATTCTTGATCTTGAAAACAAATTCTAGAGCTAAGCCCTAGTCTGACCTGAGCCCTTATGCTTCACCAGGGAAAAAGATACCTTTCAGCAGGACAAAGGGAAGGACAAAAATGGATCAAATGTTTTCTAAAATAAATGGTTGAGCCAGCTGAACTTAACTTCAGTGTATGAATGATAAATACTTGATGTACTATAGCTTTTGGCCAGGAGTAGACAGCTGATAATAAGGAAGATATGTTTGATTTTAGCAACCAGTTCCCGGAATTACCATCTGTGTCTGTGCATTAGAAAGGTTTTCCTTTCTTTCCAAGTATTTCCCCTCACTTGAGTGGAAGGGTCAGAGCACCAGCTCCCATCACCTATTTCACTTTCCAGGCTCTAGCAGCAGCAGCTTATATTATGTGGAGATGGAAATACTTTCGAGAGGGCTCTGTGTGTGCATTTGTTTGAGGGGGCAAAGTCAAGCAGTATATCACCTGTAACTGCTGGCTATTCTGATATATTGGCAGCCGTTCATCTGAATTTCAATCCAGGAGGTGAGTTTGTATACATTTCAAGACCAAAAAAAGAGCAATATTTAGCTGCCCAGGCCCATTACATTAACGAAAGAATGCAAGATGAAGTTCCAATGCCATGTAAAGGAGTGTTAAGCAGAATCTTAATCAGTCATGTGAACTGAGGCGTGAAGATTCTTTGGATTTTTGCCTCCCTTTTCAGAAAATGAAATGTGCTTTTTGATATTGCTTCTTTAAAAAACGTAACACTGTGTCATAGTGTAACAGTTGTCTGCTACTTCTTGGACATGTTTGTTGTCTATATCTGAGAAACTTCCTTCGGGTCTACAAGCATAAAAACAGAATTATCCATTATTGCCACCCTATAGAACCTATTTACTAATGTAGGAAAGAGACTGTATTCAGTGATTATCCTGCTCAGACAGTAACGTCTTTCACATTAAGTAGAATTTAAAAAAAAAACAATAAACAGGTTTTCACCAAGATCTTGATCTTTTTAATGAGAAAACATGCAAATTCCAACTCTTTGTCCTATGGATGGGATAGTAAATCATATCGGTTCCAATGGGAAAAAAATCTGTTCTATTCATGCTGTAGTATAATTGTCCAGAAGCTTGTGATCATGTATGTGTTATCTAGACTAAATGTTCACCTAAAAGTCTAGTTAAATCCCATCATTGGGAGGTAGAAATAACTGGTTCTGGGCGACTGGAAGAAAACTATTTATATTTCCAGAATGAACAATGAACAGCCATCACAAAATCTGCATGTGTTAGATGGGTAATTATGACTTGCAAATAGGGATTGTAAGCAAGAAGTATGGTTTTGGTTCACATACACTTTATATAATTAACCTATAACTTCCTGCTTCCATAGATTAAGGCATGGGACTCCTCCAAGGGCTCCACAGAGGATGCATCTTGCCTGGGAACAACCCCCAATCCAAAGTAATATCGGGTCTTCGATCAATCAGTAAAATAACATCCCCTAAATTAATAAGAAGAATAAAAATAATAAATAATAATAAATATAATAAATAATTAAATAAAAATTTAAAAAATAAGATTGATCAGTAAAATAACATCCAGTAAAACTACTTTGACTCCTCTTATTTAACAGTGATTACAATCTTGGAATCTCTCAACCTAGGGTGATGAGAACTTCTTGGGCAGCACAAAGCATTCCACTCTCTCCTGGCTGCTAAACATCCAGTAGAAAGTGAGGGAAACTCTTCAAGGCACATTCTATGCAATTAATTCCTTTCTCCCATTGTCCGAGTATAAGAAAGGGGATGTTGGAAACTAATATTTATCTATAATGTTTTAGTGGTCTTTCTTTCTTTCTTTCTTTCTTTCTTTCTTTCTTTCTTTCTTTCTTTCTTTCTTT